AACTGAGGTGAACTTACCCGAATATTTTCCTAACTTTTTTTGGCATCAAGAAGTTTGGCCTAAAGATTCCAAATCTTAAAAATCTGTTGATCTTGGCAGGAGACTCTGCCAATTTTCAGGGAGTTGTGGTTGGAATCATTAAGTTAATAGAAACAGTTTCCACCTACACTATGAACATAGTTGGTTTTATATACCCACGTCCTTAAAACAGCCCTTGCACCATCTCCCTCTACCACTTTAGAAAGAAACCATACGGAAAAGATGGGGAGTGGGAGGGGAAGCCCTTGGTTTAAAGAAGGGGAACACAACACACTGGAATATGGCAAAGTCATTTTGGGGGGAGATTAACAGCACCCAGAGATGAAAGGCTAATAAGGAGCACCACTTCGTATGCAGTATGGGCACGCATCTCATAACCACTCAGATATTCACAAAGACAACAAAAACCAGCAAAACTGTCTTCATAGCATCAATACAGAGCAAAATTCAGGCCAGCTTTTGTGATTTTCACTATTTCTGTCTATCTTTCAGAGGGGATTGGGGTGGGGGGGGATTGCTGTTTCATGTTTTGCTTTTTAAAATAATTTTTTTTTTCTTTTTAATCACTTTGCAAATGGCTGGAATAAATGAAGACATTACAGCCTGTAGCTGCTCCTGACTGCCAAGATGCTAAAAGCTGTCATGCCCACAGAAGAACTGAGGGAGCGAACAAGCCCTCCTACACTGAAGGCAGTAAGCAAGCTTAGTTTAAAATCACTGATGGAAGGAGATTGGAGCTAAGCTGTCCGACTCCCCACACACACAGATCAGGAAGCACTCCTCCATCTCTATTGTTTCTAGCTGATCTATGTAGACAACTGCTTTTAGCTACAGCAGAAACATCTCAGACTACTGCAGTTAACTCCAGAGGAGGGCATCTGGTCCAGCTTTCCTATTTTTCATTTCCCTTGCAGTCCATCTCAGGAAAAAAAAGGTTACCATACGATTAACACAGACACCTTCACAACCACACTTCCCCTCTGCACCCCCTTCCCCAGAGTACTATTAAATAAAAGAAAAAAGGCAAACCCAAAGAAGATGACCCCCGAAAAGTATCTTCTCAGCAGGCTTTGCTGACAAAAGGTACAAGAAGAACTGAACCGCTTTTTTTTTCACAATGCTTCTAACTCTTAAAACACGACAGGAAAATGCAATTACAGAGGCAAACCACAGCCACCATTGAAATGCAGCCCATCATCTCCACTGGAAGGCTGCAGCTTGCCAAAGGCATTCCAACAGCAAACAATACTGCCGAGTTCCCGACAGGAATTCCTGGCAGCTGATGCCTCCGCAGGCGGAAGTGCTTCTGGTTCAAATACTTCCTTTACCACTGATAACACTGGCAATGCCAAGGCTTAAGAGATAAGGAGAGGATCTTCCAGGCACCGTCACCCAATCCTGTCCTGACAGCTGTTTATTTTTAGAAGGTGCCTACGGGAAGGCAAACACAGAGAGACAGAGACCGCGCTGTTTGAAGGGGTAAATCCGTGTCAAACGCGCGACTGCTGCAGCGATACGGACGGACATCGCAGCACTTCCTCTGCTTTAGCAACAGCTCTGTCAGGGAGCAAAGAATACTATCTGGGCAGTGCTGAGCTGATCAGCTCTTCATATTCCATTACTAAAACCTACTCAACTACAGATAATTTCTTAATTCTTTCAAGTGAAGAACAAAGTCTTTATTTCTGGCAGGAAGTGAAGGTATTTACAGAATAGCTAGTCACTGTTTCTCCTGGTTGTGTTAATGGCACAGAGCACTAACTAAAGTAAAACCACATTTGCAGCATGTTGGGGGGGGATCATTCTACTTTGTATAACTTTGCAACATAGGGGTTTTGTTGACATAACTCCTATGTATTAACAAGCCCTAAAGCTCACGAAAAGGCAGTACGTGACACAACTGCCACACCAAGACACTCAAATGACACATGAAGGAGTTAACTGGAACAGCTCTACAGCTAACTGAACACTAAGGTGGCCTGTACAGCAACAATCCTGTCAGAACAGGATTGGATGATGGTATTGAGACTCATAAACTTTGATCCAATGTTAGATTAAAATAAATTTATTATTCAGAACCTGGTTCTTCATCGTAAAATTAAAAATCAATGATGTAGCCCTAAAAAAATAAATGCAGTAAAAAAATGTAAGGTATTTCAGCAAAATACCAGTGAATTTCTGGCACTGACGCAATCTGTGAGGCCCATCCTATAATTACCGCTTTGACATCAACT